AGCGATGCGAGTCTAGGGATCAAATATACAAGAGATTAAAATGGAGAATATGCGTGAATTTGATCAACACAAACAAACAAACAAACATACCTTTTTGATGTTTCCACCGGTGAGCGGCAAGTTGAAGCACCAGCCCGTCTGCAGGTCGAGCCTCTTCAAGGCGGCCACGTACCCGTCCACCTTCTTCAGATTGGCCGCGTACTCGTCGGTTGTTTTGGCCAGCTTCCGGTCGGCCGCTTCAGTGGCCAGTCGGCGGTACACCTCCTTGACGACGCAGGCGAGGAAAGCCTCCTCTTCTTGAGGCTTTAAACGGTGGCCCATGATGAGGCGTCGGTTTTTGGTTGGTTGGCGAGGTCAGATAAAATCTGTGGTTGAGCAACTAAAGAAACAGTCGTTAAAAACACTTCAAGAATTTAAAAAGGCGCCAGAATCCGAAAAAAAACTTTTTTTTGAGAGCCAGAGCTGAAAAAGGCGCAACACAAAATCAAGCACATTTTTGCCCCTTCACAGAGTACAGTACACTAGAAGAGCACGTGTGATTTGGCAGTGGGCAGAAACTTCCAAAAAGAAGTGGTCAGATCAAGTCAAGTCTCCTTCAAGTTCTTTGCATCACCACCACTACCACTCCCGCCGCCCTTGCTTCAGTATGGCATCCTCAATTGCTCCATTGTCGCCTGATTACACTTCCAAAATGACCACCTTTAGTCTCGAACGCTGCTGGGTCATCGAGAACTTTGAGTTCTACCGAGTGGAGCCGCTCAGCTACAAGCCTCTGGAGTCGCCGGTGTACTACGCACCAGAGCACAATCTGCAGTTTAAAATCTGTTTTTGGCCTAATGGAACTGGTCAAAAACAGGAATCGAACAAAAAGTATGCTGCTGCTGGTGTGCTGGTAAAGAGCATTTCCGGTGATGATCATGGTGGTGATGATGGCAAAAGTCGCTACTGGAAGGAGGATGCAGTGATTGTCATCGATTACGACATTACATCAAAGTTAGAAGTTGGTCAAGCTCATAGTATTTATAATGCCTGTTGGAGAAGTAAGTAAAAAGTGTTATTTTAAAATTCCAAACGTTTAACATTAACTTTATTTTACTGTTTTGTTTCATTTAAAAGAAAAACACTCGATTCAAGTGAACTCGCCAAGTTTGTCTCCAAATGAATTTCAAGTTGAAGGTAGCGGAAGTTATGTTAGTCTTAGAGAAAACTCCAAAGGACAGCTTGTTTTACAGTGCAAGGCAAGTCGCGCCATAATTTTCAATAGTTTGTAGTGCCTCCGCATGCAATTTTTTTTAAATTTTTTTCAGATCAAAGTCTCCTACCTGACTGACTCCTTCTCAGGCATCTTTTGCCTTCCTCCTGCTCTGACTTCAACTGAAGTGGCTCGATGTGGAGACCACCTTGAGAAGATGAAAGCTCTCCTGAAGACGGGCGCCAACAGTGACATCACCNGTGACATCACCCTGGTGGCTGGAGTTCAGGAGTTCAAGGTTCACAAGCTGCACCTGTCCACTCACTCGGCCGTCTTTGCAGCCATGTTCCAGCACGAGAACACCAAAGAGACAATTGAGAAGAAGGTGGTCATTGAGGATGTGTCTGCTGAAGTGATGCGCACTCTGCTCCACTACATTTACACAGGCACCGTTGAGAACAAGAATGATCTGTCTGTTGAGCTCTTCTCTGCAGCCGATAAAGTAGGTTTTCTTTTCAGTTTTGACTTTTAACGTTAATATCTGTTTCTAATTTATTTTTCAAATCCCCAGTACGAGGTGAACGCCCTGAAGGAGGCCTGTGAGCGGCAGCTCTCCCTGAAGCTGACCACCGACTCGGTCTTCTCTGTTCTCATGTACGCTGATCTGCACAGTGCCACCAGGCTGAAGGAGAACTGCCTCAAGTTTGTCACCTTTCACTCTGCTCAGTTGATCTGCAGCACCTCCACCGCCTGGAAGCAGTTCACCGCCGCCGCTCGTCCTGAACTGGTCAACGAAGTGGTCTTTCGAGTGGCAGCCAAGTAGACGACCTGGACTTGTAAAAAGGCTGACTGCTCACCAGTAAGTCAAAGTTACAAAGAGCGATGTTAAAAGGACAACTTGTGCTCACCGGTTTTTTTTGTAGAGAGAAAGTGGAAAGCGTTAACGGTAGCGGTTGAAATAAAAATAGTGGAAATGCATAAAGGTGAATAAAAGCTCAAGAGAATAAATAAACATAGGAGACAATGAAGAAGAAGGAGAGGAAGAAAAAGCTCATAGAAGTTAGGTAAAAGCAATGCAAATAGCTGGAGGAGGAGGAGGAGTAGAACGAGATGT